GAGCTCAAGTTGAGTCGCATGAGTGAGTTTCATCACATATCATGGCATGACATGTTAGATTCCAACATAAACTCGCTTAACCTAGATTGGAATGGTTGTTGATTGTTAATTGTGGGATGTGAGCATTTCATATGTATTTAGGTTGTGGAGTAACCTCTATAGGAAATACTCTACTGTGCGTGACTCACCCTACACAAAAAAATATTTCAGGTGCGGGATACACGCCGGAGGAAGGCCTTCACATGGGACCTCAAGGACGAAGAAAGCCGGAATGTGGCTTTATTTTGAGTTTTTTGTAAATAATTATGAAAACTTTGTTTTTGATATGTAAATTCATGGAAATGACTGTAATAGAGTTGGTATGGACCTTGTGTAATATGAAAATCTTCATTATACATGTGTTGGATGAAAATAATATGTTTTGAAATGAATTGAAAATGAAAAACAGGTGAAACATGTAAATCTGGGTAAAACCTACCAGTAGGACATCAACCCACTGGTAGATCGCTGTCTAGTGGACAACACCTACCGGTTGGATCGCGTACAGACATAACTTTGTTTATCAGGTAAAACCTATCGGTAGGACTTTTCCAGTAGACAAAACCTATCGGTAGGTTCTCCAAAATTTTNAAATGAAAAACAGGTGAAACATGTAAATCTGGGTAAAACCTACCAGTAGGACATCAACCCACTGGTAGATCGCTGTCTAGTGGACAACACCTACCGGTTGGATCGCGTACAGACATAACTTTGTTTATCAGGTAAAACCTATCGGTAGGTTCTCCAAAATTCTGAAAATTTAAGATTGTCTTGCCATGCTTTTGGACCATGGATTCTTTGGTACCAAAGATATAAATTGACATCAAATGAGGATAAATAGTGGTATATTGGACCTTGGTTGGCCAAATGGTATAATGTATACAAGTTACACGTGTGGGTGATGATTCCGGTCAAGGGGAAGCTATCGATGTGATGTCAAGTTGTGCGACAATTACGGGTACTTCCGCGAGTTGACTGGTGGTCAACGGTTGAAAAAGGACTCCCGATTTTAGGGGCGTCACAGAACAAGTTCTCATGTTCCATTCCAAACTAAAGCATCATACTCATCAAACATAGCTTTACGCCACTTTCGATCTAGCAGGGCTTTAGTCACGGTTGTTGGTTCAACATCGTTGGATTTTGAGAATTGGGTATGAAGGTTCATTTTAGTTATTGGTATATGAATATGGTTCTTGGCTCGGGTGATCATTAAGTGTGTTGGAGGGGGATGAGGTTCGGCTGGGATGATTTGGGGTGGGTTTGAATTGGTTGAGGATGGCAAGGGAGTTGTGTTTGGATGAATGGCTTGGGGTGCGTTGGTGGATGGAACTTGCACTAGAGAGTTTGTTGGAGCTGCACATAGAGGTTAGGGAGGGACAATGACTTCAGATGGCATAGTGAGTGGTGACTGGGAAAAGGGTGAGATAACTTTAATTGGTGCAGGAATCCATGTGGTGATGGTGTTGGGATGAGGATTAGAGGATGGACCAGATAAGGAAGAGGAGGGAAACTAAGACTCAAATTTGACATGTCTAGAGACATAGATTTTTGAGGATTAAGGGGCAAGGTAGTAGTATGCACTTTGAGTGAGAGAGTAGCCAAGAAAAACAAGGCTTGGACCGTGATTCAAGTTTGTGTGATGTGTAAGGTCGGAGCCAAGGATAGCATAAGTAGCCAAAGACCCTTAGTTTCGAGTAATTTGGTGCTGTGAGAAATATTTTGTGATAGGGCGAGGAGAGATTTAAGGTGGGAGTGGACNAGATAACTTTAATTGGTGCAGGAATCCATGTGGTGATGGTGTTGGGATGAGGATTAGAGGATGGACCAGATAAGGAAGAGGAGGGAAACTAAGACTCAAATTTGACATGTCTAGAGACATAGATTTTTGAGGATTAAGGGGCAAGGTAGTAGTATGCACTTTGAGTGAGAGAGTAGCCAAGAAAAACAAGGCTTGGACCGTGATTCAAGTTTGTGTGATGTGTAAAGTCGGAGCCAAGGATAGCATAAGTAGCCAAAGACCCTTAGTTTCGAGTAATTTGGTGCTGTGAGAAATATTTTGTGATAGGGTGAGGAGAGATTTAAGGTGGGAGTGGGCATTCTATTGATGAGGTAGATGGTTGTGGCAAAGGCATAGGTCCAGTAGGACAGGGGTAAAGAAGCATGAATGAGGACGACAAGACCTGTTTCGACTATATGAAGGTGTCTTCTTTAGGAGTAACCATTGTGTTTAGGCGTGTGAGGTGGAGTGAAGAGATGAGAGATACCATTGGTGCAAAGAAAATGAGCTAGGGAAATGTACTCACCACCATTGTCAGAGTAGAGGGTTTTGATGGTTAAATTTAAGTGTTTTTCCACAATGGCTTTAAATCTTATAAATACTTCTTTGACTTCGGATTTGTGTTTGAGTGGGCAAAACCAGATATATTTAGTGAAATAATCAATGAAGATTGCATAATATTTAAAGCCATTATGTGAGAAAATTGGAGAGGTCCAGACATCTGAAAATATGATTTCAAGAGGATCAGTAGAGACAACTGTAGAGTTAGAGAACGACAATTTGTGGCTTTTATTGCAGAGACAAGCATTACATGAGAAATCAGGAGATAAAGAGGAAGAGATTGGCCACTCATGGNGAGATAAAGAGGAAGATAAGCCTAAATGATTACTAGAAACAATATGTTTGAGAATTTGAAAAGCAGGATGTCCTAATCTGTGGTGCCAGTCGAATGAAGTGGTCTTTATTGTGGAGAAGGCAATCAAAGGGGAAGAGATTGGCCACTCATAGACACCATCTTTAGTTCGTCCTTTCAGTAGTGTTGCCCCGGTGCGAAGTTCCTTCATAAGAAAGGTGGATGGTAAGAACTCTATGGAAACATTGTTAGAATGGCAAAATTGTGATATAGAGATTATGTTCTTTTTCATAGATGGAACACAGAGAATATTGTTTAATGTAAATGTATTGTGAGCAGTTTTGAGAGAGGTTGAACCAGTGTGGGTGATGGGAAGATTGGAGCCATCTTCGATCATGATGTCATCAGTGCCAATGTATGGAGCATGCAGTGAAAGATTGCTCAGATCAGCTGTTACATGGTGAGATGCACCGCTGTCCAAAAGCCATGATGGTGTGGTGGAAGGATTGGTGGCAAGGTGAGCTTGTGGTTGCCATGGTGTGTCGGGTTGAGAAGAGCTGGATGTGTGGGAAGTGTGAACTGGTACTAGGCGCAATGATGGATAGCGTTTGGCAGTGTGACCTTGAATCCTGCAAATTTGGCAGTGACCAAGGTATGGTCTGGGAGGAGGACGAGAGCCCTGTGATGAATGAGGTTCTACATTGGTTGCAGCAGGTGGGTGGTTGGCTGAGTTGAAGGATGGGCCCCAATTGGTGGTGGTAATGCCTTGTGGTTGAGAAGGACGCCAATTTTTGGTATTGGTTCGGTATGTAGGATTTGCAATAGCTGGAAAATGGTGTGGCTCAGTTGGGATTGCTTGAAGAGGCTTCAAAATTGAGGAGTTTTTCTTGAAATTCTTCAAAAATGATGGAGGTATCTCTGGCTTGGACAACGTGGACTAATTCCTTGTAATCATCACCGAGACCATCTAGAATTTTGTCTGTGATTTCTTCTTCATCAATGGAGGGTCCAAGAAGAGCAAGATCATTTGCTCGAGTTTTGATGGTTTTCATAAATTTAGTAATGCTAAGGGAGCCTTTGGTGGTGTTCTTGAGTTGGTTTCTGATTTGTTTGATGCGGCCATGAGAGGGCTTAACATAGGTGTTGGCTAGAATTGTCCAGGCTTGTCTAGAGGTCTTGACTTGAGCTATGAAGGGAATAATGGTGGGTGAGATGGAGCCAATGACAGCATTGAGGATTAGCTGGTCTTGTCTGGTCCATAGAATGTAATTGGGATTGGGTGTGGTTGTATTGGATTGGGTCAAGGTGGCTGGCGGACATGGTTTGGAGCAATCAATATAGCCAAGAAGGTCATAGCCAATGAAGAGTGTTTGGAACTGTAGCTTCCAGGAGAGGTAACTGGTAGAGGTGAGTTTGAGAGGGGCTTGAGCAGCAACGTTAATGCTGATAAGAGTTTGGTGTGGTTCATTGGCATTGAGGATGGTTGAAGGGTCAGATTCGATAGCCATGAGTGCTGAAGAACAGAGGAAGAGGAAAAGAAAAAAAAAATTGGATCGGCTTATACCACTTCTGGTTGCTCTAATACCATAAGAGATGGTGGAAATCAATCGTATTTTTCATAGACATTTTGCAACAGTTAAATATACAAGTGGAATAACAAACATTTGTTTGAGATCCTAAAATATAGAGCAGTTGGAAACTGTTTCTAAATCTAAGGAACAAGAAGTTTGAATGAATTCAAACTTAGAGAAACTAACGAGCTGTTACAATTTGTTACAATCCTCTGATAGATTCTTCATCAGATAGTCTTAGAAACTCTTTCTCCCTCTCCATTCTCGACTTCCTCAAGCAGTCGGCACCCCCTCACAGGCAACAAGTACTGTAGTCAATACTAGAAGAAGGGTCTTATTCCCTCTCTCGGACTTTAGCCTCTCTCACTCCCTCTCAACCTCTCACTCAGCAACTGATCTTCAACTCTCTCAATTCGACCGAAGACCTCATCTATCTTCAACGACGATCAACTCAATCTACATGTCTGACTCTTTTAACTTTTCATAACTAAATCGGCCCGAATTAAATAATTCAAATTCAATTCGAGCCCGCCGGAATTCAACTTGAAAATTACCCGATTGAGTTGAGGTTGAATTAGTGTTAGTATTAGAGTTAGAGTTAAAAATTATATATCTAAAATTGGACTAGAGTTAGCACCTCAACCTGGCCGAATTGCACCCCTAAGTCGACTTTAGGAAATACGTCTAAAATAACGATTGTATATTAGAGGCAGGAAAGAAAAACAACAGAGTGGATGATCCATCTATAGATATGTATAGCATTGAACACAAATTCTCATAAATGGTATACGCCAGTAAATATAACTTAACAAATACCTGAAATCAACTCAAATTCCACATCACTATCTGAAGTCTAACGAGAACTAACAACGATTCAATTCTACACAGCATGTGTACAAGAAAATGAAATTTCACATCAGTGGATTTGAACGAGTAAATTGATCATTTTGACACAGTTTAGGGTAATGGAAAGGAGTAGCAGCTGCTAAGCAGATTCACATCAACAAGCTCCAACTGATAAGGACGTCTTCTTCAGCCTAGTGTCACATCCTGCTTCTAAGTGCAAGCCAGTGACACACAGGTTTGACGGGCATGAAAGACAAGTCGTGTTCTCACCTTCGAGCTGCTTGCACTTGCAAAATTTATGCAACTTCCCAGCACGAAAGTTGGCAATTTGCTTATGAATTGGAATTAGAATTATCACTAAACAAAAGAGATATCGCAGGCAGGTAGCATTACAAAAGCGATACCAGAAGACAGATGGCAGGGCGATTGATAGAGAGATTCGAAATGTGACCAATACCGCTTACAAGAGTTGTGAGAGACCAATTCTTGATTGTGCAGATGCAAGGCCTATATTCGCATTGAAAGGAAATTTACTGAGAACGTTTGAGGTGCTACCCCACAATCAGAGGGAAATTGCAATTGCAACATATGTAGAGAAGGAGATCCAAGAATAATGAATAAATTATGAACCAGTATGTTTACCTGCACATATCAGAACAAATTATCAGAAGCCCAACAAAATGGCATTCTTTGGCATGCTTCACATTCTCGTCTTTCTTCATTTGCTTGGTATACTACACAAATTCTACAGCCTCGTCTCCATGGAATTCCCTGATTGCTTTTCTCTAACCTTACATCCCTTATGTTATATATCACCTTTTCTAAGACTCAACTTAATATTCTTCCTTACTTTCCGAAACCTCATTTTTTGCCTTACTTTCCGGATCTTCAGTTTCTTCTTTAGCTTTTTCTTCATTCTCTACAGTCTCTGCTTCGTTAACATCCATTATCACGTGAAGAAACTCCGAAGGCATAGCTGCAGGATCCAGCTCCAGGCAACCCCTTGGAGCATTTGGGGCTTCTTGACCAGTAAGTAAAAAAGAAGGGACATGATGAGAAAACCGAAACATCTCTTCTAGTGGAATCCTTTTTATTTCCCTGGGGTCCAAATGATGGTGGAACAGAGTCTTGAAGCCAGCAACTTTGACTAGTGGAAAGACAATGGCACCTAGTTCCTCGTCATAGTCCTCGAGTACTTCCACCAAGTCATATTTGTGTATTACTTCATCTGCTGTCAGCTCGTTCCATTCAGGCGACCAATTCCTGTAAAGAGCCCAAACATCTCCCCTCCTAGGAAATATTCGAATAGGCCCCAGTGTGCCTTTTGTCCACCTAACCTTGTGTGAAAAAGCATCGAGTGAGGTATTGACTTCAAGTTTGCCTATTCTGAAGTCCCCAAAAGTTTTTGAAAATCCAGACCCAACCCAGTTTAATGGACCCGGTTCAATGCTGGTTTTTGAATTAAGCCAACTGATCCGCATCTTGAATGGATTGAAAGAGATCACATTATGAACCATGGCATAATACCGAGGCATCCCATCATCATCATCATATGCAGCCCACACTTGGTTTTCTCCAAAACACCTTTCGGTTCGCCCCCTATCAAAATCATGAAAATCTGAATCTGGGACATTAATTGAAAATGGTTCAATAGTTTCTTTTTCTGGATTACCACTGGAAGTGGAAAGAATGGGCTTGTTGGGAGGAGTTCCATTCCTGAAATCGTTTGGCTCCTCAGACTTGTTTTGATTTCGTGTAAGACCTTTTACCACTGCATGATCTCTTTCTTTTTCTTTATCCTTTACTTTCTCAATTACATTCTCCTCCCCTTTAGCTGCAGATTTGTCCACAGTAGCGGAGCTCCATTCATTTAATTTCCTAAGAATTTCTGTCCGAGCCTTCTCTAGTAACAAATGATTAACATGGGTATTGGGGACATCCTTTGTACTGCTAAGCTTGTTTGTTCCACTCATGCTACCTTGTTCAGAACAGCCTTGTTTCGTAACAGAAAAACTAGCTGGGCTTGCTACTCCAGTCCCAATGCCCAGTTGTTTCGTGATGCTCCTCCCACTATTGCTTGCACCAAGATCTTCGATGCCTCGTCCTCTCTTCATGGCATTAGATAGCCCAGATGATTGAACACTGCTCATTCTTTTAGAGGCTTTATTCTTCTTTCGGAAGGCCTCTCTTTTTGTAGCTGCCTGTGCCTCTTCACGCTCTCTCTTTGCTCTCTCATATGCTTGCTGGACTATGCTTGATGCTTGAGCAGGAGATGCAGAACCAGAGGTTCTAGAGAATGGGCCCCACTGGAAGTTAGTATGATTAGATGAATCAAAAAAAGTGAACTGTTTTGATTCTGCAAATCTTGCTGAACTATGTACATTGTTGGTAACCCCCTGATGACTCGGGTTTTGTCGCTGCTGGGAATAATTCCCTTTGATAGAAAATTTAGAACCATTTGAAGTTGGTGGTTCAATTTCCACTGCCAAAAAGGGCTCATTGCAATTGGGGCAGAGGAGATTATGATTAAGATACATTCTCAGATACTCATACCGCATCTTGCATCGATTGCATATGGTCCAAAAGGAAGAGTTTTTCTGCTTACGAGATTCAGCAACAGGAGCAGCACTCCCCTTGGTGGTGTTACCCTTTGGAACCCTCGTGTGTGAAGCTTTACTCTTGGCGAAGTTGCAAAATCCATTTTGCCCAGCTGGTGCTGATGATCCCCTAGTTGGAGGCTGAACCCTCTTTTGGGATATTCCACAATTCCTCTTCTGGTCATAAGCTGATCTCTTGGCTTTATCAGACAACACACTCCAGGCTTCTGAAATAAGCTTAAATGCACCCTCAGCCCCTATACACTTATTTTTGTCAGGATGAAGCATGAGAGCTAGCTTCCTGTAATGTTTCCTTAATGTGTCCTCATCTGCTAGTGGATCCACACCCAGCATCCCGTACCGATCTGCTTCACCATTTACTAAGTTCTCTGCAGACACATACACATCAAGCGTCGCTAACATTTGCGAAATGCCCTCAAGTCCAGGATACAAAGTCTGCGCCTTGATAGCAAATTTTTTTGCCCCAGAAATGTCCTTGGTTCTAAACTTCTTCTCAGCAATTTCTTTTGCCCTCACAGCCTCATCTCTATTGCACTCCATTTACCTCGCCAATTTTCGTAAACACTAAGTACTATAACAGGAAAGACATCATGACAATCAACAAACTTCAGACACCCCGGAATCTGATTCTAAAACTTCTGGGTTTCCTCATGGTTCAAAAAATGGCCGGCCTGTAAACACTGTAATCATCTGAACCCAATTCCAAAATAAAACTACAATAAACGCTAGTGAACTAACTAACTTGAAGCATAAATATCACTAGAGCAACACAAAGCAGCACATAAAATTAAGGCAAAAATCAACTTTTTGGCTTAGTACCGAATAATTCAAACAATCAGTTTACATAGACATTACAACAGGCACATCATCCATGTAATGACGATTACTCTAAATTTTACTCTATGTTCATCTTCCGACACTCAGTAAGCCACAACCACACAACCACAAATATCGTCAAAAAAACTAAGTTCAAATGAATGCAAAATTAAAAATAGAATCGCAACAATATATGGCTCTACGTAGTCAATCAGCTCAAGCAGCTATAATTCTTTCATTAATCAATCAGCGCAAACACATGCAATTCACCAATTAAAACCCTAATTTGATGACTTTGAAATGAAACCCTAGAACCAGCGATCAGTACATGATGAGAGCAAAACACAATATTTGCACGAAGCAGAGAGTAGAGACGAGACACACGTACCCTATTGAGAGAGCTGCAATGTTGTTTGGTCAAGGAATTTGAATCGCAGAGACACCATGGACAGACCAGACCTCCATGAACCAAGTTTATTTTTGTGTTTTTGCCCCCTCTTTTCTCACCCAAATGCCAAAAAATCCCCAAAACTCCAATTTTTCTCAAAACCAGGACAACTGTTTTCCCATCAAACACTACCCGTAAAGAGAGGATAGCAGCATGGGCATTCCAATTCTTGTTGATCCTAACCCAACCCAGCCCTTTGGCTTTTATCATTGGAAACCTTAACCATGGTAAAATTTCTACTCTCAAAACCTCTGACTTTAACTATGGTTAATTTTAATACTTAAGAATGGTTAACACTGGTTTGTCCAACTCACAAAAACTACTGCACAGTTCTATTTTGGTTGTCAAATATTTATTAAACTTTAACCATGGTTAAGTTTAGCATTTAAGAATGATTGACAATATATATATATATATACATACTACAATAACAATAAGTAAGGTTGCTTAAAAGGTAATCAGGACGAGTTGTAAATTCAGACGTTTTCGAACTTTAATAACTTCTTAGAGCTAGACTATGAGGGATTTATTCCGCATGTATATCTTAATTCCGACATAAATGGTTTGCCTTAGATTAGATTGAACAGGAGATTAGTTGAAGTGTGCATAAGTTATTTTAAACACCATTATCGTTGAATCAAAAAAAAAACTCATGCCTGAAAACACTATACAATATCAAAAATTGAATTAATATTACAATATTTATATTTTTAAATAATAATTTAATTTTTTGAATTATGTTGATTAAGTTGGTTCGACATTAGAGGTCATACATAGAAATTGATGTTTTTGGGCAAAAAAAAAATTAAAATAAATTTTGTATCACTGAATCAAAGTAAATGAAGATTAAATCAATTTTAATAGTTATTATAATTTTATTAATTAAAAATTTAATTTCTTAACTATAATATTAGATAAATATATATAAACACACTAACACCGGATATGCATGGAGGAAGGAAATAATACTGGTATTTCATTTTAATTTCTCAGAACGAAAAGATTGGAATAAAAGAAATAATAAGTGACTGAACGTGTAATGATATATGACTAAAATACATAGATTCAATGCATACCATCTTCGACAAAAAAAAAAAAAGGGAATCTGCATACCACCCATTAGGACAGATGCAAGAGGTGGGTCAGGGCGGCCCAACATAAATGGAGATTTTAGATGAAAAATATTAAAGGAATCTTTGAAAATTGGTACATTAAATTAAATTTATTTGACAAAAAGTACACATTAAAAAATATTTTGGAAAAAGGTATACTACATGGATAGAAAAACTTAAATACCCTTTTTTATTATTTTTATTTCCTTAAAAATGTAACATTACAGTTATCATAATTACTAAAATTTAGGCTCAATTAATTCAAAATATTTTCAACTTCCTCAAAAATCTTAATGTATTTTTTTGTGTTCCAAGAAATAAAACGGCTGCTCATTATTCATCTTCCAACCAAACCGCCGGTCTGCATATCCATTCAAACAAGCCAACTTATCTTCCTCTTCAACCGATTCTCAGTGTATTCATACAAAGGGTGTTGAATGTCAATTGTTCATCGATTCAATAAGGATTCAGGTTACAAATGATCGATCGATTGATTGGAGAGGGTTCTCTTAGAAGAGGGTTTTTTTGGCATTAGTACTTTGATATTTGGTCATTGTTTGCACTGTGGTCGGTCGTGGTTGTTTTCTCTNGTTGAATGTCAATTGTTCATCGATTCAATAAGGATTCAGGTTACAAATGATCGATCAATTGATTGGAGAGGGTTCTCTTAGAAAAGGGTTTTTTTGGCATTAGTACTTTGATCTTTGGTCATTGTTTGCACTGTGGTCGGTCGTGGTTGTTTTCTCTGTGTTCGTTGATTGTTTTGATCGTCGAAAGAGGTAATGTATGTATGTATATTTATGTGTGTGTGTATATATATATATTGTGTATTATGATAATGGGTTACCCAATTCAAAAAATATAATACAATTTTTTTTTTGTTTATGTAATTGTGTATTATCATAATGGGTTACATTACACTTTTTTTTTTTTTGGGTTTAATTTCATGTATTGAAACCCTACTTTGTTTGTTTGAATATTGAAAGACGAATAATGTTCATCTTTGTTGTTTTTTGGTCAAAAGCCTTTAAATTATGTTTTGTTTATACCATAAATTGTTGGATGTTGTAACCCTTTGTTTTTTCAATTGTTTGAATATATTTGTGAACTGGGTTGACTGAATATATATGCACACATACATTTGTTTGAAGGCAACGTAACTAGTGTTTGTGTTGTGTTGGATTATATAATTAATGTTACACTTTTGTTGTTACACTTGATTTGAAACAATTTTTTTTTGTTACACTGAATCTTTCGTTTTGTTATAAAACTTTGTTGTGCTGTGAAATGTTAAGTGACACAATTGTTTATTATATATTGTGTGTAAGTATCTCTGATTACACTGTGTGTAAATCCTAAATGTTGAATGTGTTAATATGACAATGTAAATATATAAAATGTAACATAGAAAGGGTTACATATAAAAAACTATGAAATTTACCTATATAGTGTTTAAGAATGGACAATTAAAAACGGAACTGTATATTATGTTGATAAGGTGTTGTTGTTGGGTAATAATATATTGTGCAGTAATGCACATTGTTTATTCTTTGTTCAATAGCAATATGTTTTTGGTTTTTTTTTTGTGTATTATCATAATAGGTTACACAATAAAAAATCAGTACATTACCCTTTTTTCTTGATTTTTTTTTTGGGTATTATCATCATGTGTTACAATACACTTTTTTTTCTTGTTTAAATTCATATATTGGAACCTTATTTTCTTTGTTTGAAGATTGAAAGACTCTTTGGAAAATATTTGTTGTTTTAAGTCAAAAGCCTGCAAATTATGTAATTTTTATACCATAAGAGTGTTCATTTTATAGAAAACCAATGAATGGTTGGATGTTCTAATTTTATTAATAATTTTTTTTTTCAATTCATTGAATATATGTCTAAAGTGGGTTGACTGAATATATATGTGTATATATTTATGTTTGAATAAATACAAAAATGTTGGGTTTCGTTACACAATTATTGATACACTTTTGTTATTACACTTATTTTGATACACCTTTATGTTGTTATATTGTTAAATTTATACTGAATCTTTTTTTTTTATTTTAAAACATTTTTGTGCTGTGAATGTCAATTGCCTAGATTGTTTAGTGACATGATTGTTTGTTCTTATATTCTGTAATTAAATGTGATTATACTGTGAGTAAATCCTAAAAATGTTGGTTGTGTTAACATCACAGTGTAATATACATAATGCAACATAAAAAGGGTAACACATGAAGGTGTAACAAACTTACCAATATAGTGCAACAACATACTAGTTTACCAACAAAATAAAGAACAGTGGACCATTAGACAAGGAATTGTATATTCTTTTTTATAAATTGTTGTTGTGGGGTAATAATACAGCGTGCAGGAATACAAAATGTTTATTCCTTGTTGGATAACCATGTGTGTAATGTTGACTGTAATACAATGTTAAGTGTAAGGTAAGACATTTGTTGACAATGTTACATTTTACACTTACACAAGGCAACACTTTAGAGTTTAAATTATTTAATATGAGACATTACCTAAAGTGTTACACAAACAGAATATGTATTTATCATCTTACACTAATGTTCTTTTATTGAGAAAGTGTGAAAGTGTTGTACTTTCAATGTTATCCTGTAACACTTTACACTTTTCATCAGGTAAGGTTAGACATAAGGTAACAGTTTACAGTTTACACTTTCAATGTTACATAAAAAGGGTGACACTATTATTGGTTCACTTATTTAGTTATATTCTGTTTTGTGCTTCACTGATTAGACTGTGTTATACATTGTGTTTTCTTGATTTTTGAATGTGTCATACACTGTTATTTGATTCACTTTATTTGGCTATATTATACACTGTTTTTGGATTAACTTATTTGTTTATATTGTTATATTTTCAGTTAACCTTTTAGTATACTTTATACAATTTCTTCTTTGTCATTTCCCAACTCAAAACTATGATGGGGAAAAAACATATGGTAGAATCGAAGCAAGATGCTAAATACAGATCGAATTTGCTTGTAATAATTAGAGCAATAGATGAAATTAACATTAGTGAAGCACACAATGTTGTTTTGAAGAAAACATCATTTTGGTTACTATTTAAATGCATCATTGATAAAAAAACTAAATAGAACATGGTGTAGGAAGAGCGATACTATCATACAGGATGTAATTATGTGTTTCAATGTTAATAAATCTAAATTTCACGTTGGTGGGGATGACATTAAATTGAGAATGAGTGATGTGAAAATAATTTTTGTCATTAATGATGGACGCGATCCCATGGATTCTTTATCTCATGGTAAGGAAAATACAAACTTTGTTAAAAGGAGATTCAAGAAAGATAGCAAGTTGACATCAACCTTGATAAAGAGTAGATTAGTTGAAGTAGCAAGAGGTACAAAAAAGCATGACGTTGCCAGATTGTTATGTCTATTCTTAATGGTGACACTATTTTTCACACACACTGGGATATCTATAGGATGGGGATTTGTTCCCTACGTTAAGGATATAGATGCAATTAAGAAGTATGATTGGTCAAGTGCAATACATGAATCTCTTATGTTTTCACTTTAGAGAAAGAGTAGCAGCCCATCTAGAGTTAATGGATGTGTAATGTTGTTACTGGTAAGATGTTAACAGTCTGGTTGTATTTCCAATATTGTTTCATGTTGTTCAATAAACATAATGTAACTCCTTTACTTATATTAAATTTGCATGTATGTACAGTATTGAGTTTGTGAACATACAACAATTGTCAAGTCTGATAGTCCAAATGCAATACCAAGGATTCTAAAATGGAATCTGTCAGGTCTTCAAAGAGCCATGAAACAAAGTACACTTGCAAAATTGAAGTCAAAATATGTAAGTTGGTTAAATATAATAAATTTAGTTTAATATGTCCATGTTACATATTTTTTAAATCTTTTTTATGTTATCATATAATGCACTTGCATCATAAGACATTGTAATGATACACTTTCATGTTACTCTTGTGTTAATTAATGCATACAATTGTCTATTTTTAAAATGTTACAA